TTTATGTTTAAAAAACTAATTTTATATTTTTATGATGAATTATATAATAAAAAATATTTTTTTAAATATTTTTTTGTTTTATCTTAAAATTAAGATATTTAATGTAAAAATTTAAGTTTTTGACTATTGAAATATCTTTAAAAAATTTAAGTTTACTTAAAATGGTAAAAAAAAAAAGCAGTATAATCGAAGATATAGTAAAAAAAAGGTAATAATTCACTTAACTAATTTTATTATTATTATTATTATTATTATTATTATTATTTTAATTGAGAGATTTATCCCATAGAGATGCTAAAACCTTCATTTTCAACTTTTTTTGTCATAAAATTTTCGTTTTCAATTTAATGTAATTCAAGGCAATGAATCACATTACTTTTCCTTTTTGGTTGGTTTTAGCAATCAAGGTGTTCACAGGAATATTTTACATACATCAAAATTAAGTTTTTTAATTCAATTAAAAATAGGTTATTAAATCACATTATATTTTTAATAATATTTTTTAATACATTAAATAATAATTATATAATTAAAAATGATCTCCTCCTTTCTTTAAATTTAAAATCTTTAATTTAAAGACTTCAACTCGGAACCAGCTGAGGTGCCTTTGATGCGCATTTCTAAAAAAACATGATTAAAGTGTTTAGCCATAAAAGGGCCTTACTGGGTCCATAGAAGACCCGAATTGTGCCTTGAATTGTGCCTTGATGAGAGCATAGAGATTCAATAAAGATTAAATGCAAATTTTGTTCCTGAACTTTAAACTTTATACTTTTTAAAGTCTTCGTAGTGCTAATTTGATCCATGAATTTATTGTAAAAATTTATCTGAAGGGACAAAAAGTACTTAAATTAATTTAGAAACAAAAAGTATGTAAAATTTAAAGTTAAAGGAATAAAATTAGTGTCTTCCTCTAGCCATTGATGAGCTTTAATCGTCTCCTTCATCAGTTCTTCTCTTCAAGTTTGTCAGTACTTGTTCTTCTGGTGTGTTTTTACTAGTCTTTATGGGTCTGTAATCAAATTTGAGTTAATGTTAATGTTAAGTATTTGTTTTCTGTTGGCAAAATAAAAAAATAAAAAAAACCCCTAAAATTAGTGTTCTAATTTACCCTTCATTAAGTCACGTGTGGTGTATTTTTTTCCCTAATCATGGGTTGCACAAGATAACTAATCTTTTTTCATTTTTAAATTTATTTTATTTGTATATTATGAAGTTTAAATTAAAACTTTATACATACTCTTTAACAAATTTTTAACAAAAAATTTATTATTAAACTAATTCAGTTGTTGATAGGTCACATATAATTTCAATTTCAAATTCTCAATTTTATATCCATGTTTTCCAAACCCAAGCCTAATTCGGCCCTTATTTTCTAAACCCACAGAACGAAATGATCCTGTTCGTCTAGGAACGGATGGTGAGATGAAGATGATACGTGGCACGATTCCATCCGATGGGATGAAAACTACGACAAAATAATGGTGGGTACTGGTCACGTGGGCTCAATGTGTATTCACAAGATTAATAAGTAAAATGTTTTCATCCCATTTTTTGTCCCATGGGATTCGTTCCGCTAATCAGTTCTAGAGATTGAGACCGTTTTTGTATAATAATTTAAAATTTATGGTTAGTGATTTTAGTTAATTTAATAAATAAAGAATTTAAATTATTAATAAATAATACTTATGAACTGTTATATAAAACAAAATTGATAATGTCAAATTGTTATATCAAATAATATTGTATATAAAAAAAATTAATACATATATCGATTTAATACATATGTTAATATCCATTAATTTAACTATTAAATTTTGTAATTAAAATTTTTCTTATTTTAAATTTAAATTTAAAAATAATAATTTTTTAATTAATGTATTGTGAAGTGTATTACCTCAAGAAATATACAAATTATTACTTATATGAAAAATATGACAAAAACTCTCATTATGCTTCTATAGTCCATGATCCATTATTAAAGAATTGTAATTTAATTGGTAAGACAATTTACTTTTTACTTAATTCACCAAGATTAGATTTTTTGAAGAGATTAATAAAATAAATAATTACTCATAAATTTTATAATTTTAACATGAATAACTTATCTTTTCTTAAATCAAAGAAAAATTAATCTCAAAAAAATGCGTTTAGATTGTCCTGAGAACACTCTAACCATTAAACTAAATAAAATAGTTCATCATCCATATTACTAGTCGTACACTAGTGGTATTATTAATTACTCCCTCCATTCAATTTTACTAGTTTTACTTTGGCTTTTCAAACATAATTTCATAAGAAAACTAAACAAAATAAATAAATGGAAATTGAAAATTTCCTTTATGTATATATATATATAATTCTTATTAAATAGCTTCATTTTTTTTAATAAAAAAAGAGAGAAAAGATTGAATTGTATGAAATTAAAATTCAAAAAGTCAAAAAATCAAATTAAAGCAACTAAGTTGAATGGAGGTAGTACCATACATTGGCTTTGTTTATCATACTTCACACAAATCTTTTTCATACAACCTCATATATATTTTTTTTCTAACACCAATAAATAATTTTATTAGGGAGTACAAAGAGTACTTCAATCCATCTATATTAGTTACATGTAAAAAAGAGCTCAGAATAAAATTATCCCTTATTTCCTCTAAAATCCTTTTTGATCAACCTATACCTCATGTGTAATGCTGGCTCTTGCATCCAATCTAGGAAAGAAACGCCTCCACACTCCCTGGCTACGCGCAACCATTTATAGGAACAAGCTTGAATTGAATCAAATAGTTTTCCATTTTTTGGATGAGCGTTTTTGAATAGGGTATCATTTTTAGTGAGCCATAGAGTCCATGTGACAACAAACCATATTATTCCCTAGCCACGCCTTTGTCTAGGAGACCTACATAAGTCACCATGTTGCGTAAAAGCCTTCCAACATTTCTCAGTCATAACACCATAAATTTCCCACCATTTGAGGCATTTAGACCATAAAGTATGAGCAATTTTATAGTGTAAGAACAAGTGGTTTGTATCTTCCAAGTTGCCACATCCAAGAACACAAAGTAAGTCATTAGGGTCACTGATAACACCTTTTTGGAAAAGATTTAATTGAGTTGGTATCTAGTCCTAGATTGGCCTCCATGTAAAGGCTCCAAGCTTACTTGGGATGCCTTTTTGCTATACCTATAAGTATTGGTTGTTGGAGAGGAACCTAATTTTAATAGGTGATTGTAGCTCGATCGAACCTCATATCTTCCATCTAAATTGAATTGCCACTTCTACTCATCATTACTTCCTTGCTACTGAGTTACTTGCTGAAGCAAAGAAAGTAATGAATCCGCTTGTGCTACTTACAATCTAATAGAGGCCTCCTTCATAGCAAAGACCATTGCCAAGTATCATCATGCCAATATCTCATTTCTTTGATGCTGTAATCCTTGCCTGTTGACAATAGAAACATTGTAGGAAAAAAGATAAGCCAAGACTTCTGATCCCATCCAATTATCTAGCCAAAATCTAACTCTATTTCCTTCACCTAGTTTCAGCTTGAACCTCACCACTAACCAATCCTCATTTGCCTCATTTTGGTTTTTTAAATTATAGATATCCTTCCCCAGATAGAGCCCTCACGTTTTTCTCCCTCATCCAATTTACTCAATTGCATCTAAACTCCCTATATCTACTCACTAGCACCTCACACCACAACCCATTCTCTCAAGTAGCATTTTTCTACCTACCCCACCATTTCCCAAGGAGTGCTAAATTAAAAAAGTCTAAGGTTTCTTGTCTCCAGTAACATTCAACCTCATATCTAAAAATATCAATTTATGATTCTTAATTAATTTTAATTAATTATTATATACTTTTTATTAATTTTAATTAATATTTTATATATTTTTAAAAATAATAAAAGATAAAAAAAGGAAAAACATATTACTATAGTGCAACTTAGCACAGCACATCACCAAGAAACAAAACCACTATTATGGAAAAACTTAAATAGAAGTTTCAATCTCAAAATCGATGAATTTTGAGGATTCAATACAAAAGCAAAAAGATTGACAAATAATCTGCTTACAGAGCATTTGGAGCATCAGATAAACAGTGGGATAGGACAAAAATTTTGTCCAATCCCACTGTATCCCATGTTTGGTGTGGTTACAGGATGGGATAACTATTATCTTGTATTTTATCCCATCCTAAGCTCCTTTCATAAAAGATATCCCACCTTCCCATGGGAGTAGGTGAGAATAGGGATGGCAATTTCCCTCGATTTCCGTGGGACTCCACGGGGATTCCCGTTACGGAGACAGGATAGGGAAGACTATTCCTCCTTGTTGAGCGGGGATGGGGAGCATTTTCCTCTTGTGAAATTTCACGAGGAATTTTCCCCGTCCCAAGGGGTCCCATGAGGATCACCGTCTCCGCAAAAATTAAAACAAATACAAATTAATTTTATTTTAAATTTAATTCACCTTTTAAACCCAAATCCAAACCCAATTCAATCAAAATTAAATTTAACCCAATTTTACCCAATCCAACCTAAACCCATTCCCCTACATACATTTAACCCTTACCCTAATTCATTTCTCAATTTTCATTTTCACCTTCCCCCACTTTCCTTGTCATTCTATTATGCGACTCTACCATCTGAATGCCCTCCATTCCATTGCCACCCTTCTATGATTCTACCCTTACCCATCTCAGTGCTCACCTTCTGTCGCCCCTTATTTTCTCCTTTGCATCTGCCAGACCATCTCAAATCCCATTCCCTCCACTGCGGTTCTATTGCGGCCTTGCCCTTCTTGGTATTGATTTTCTTCATTTTCAAAATACTGATTTTTTTTTTTATGTTGGTTTAATTATTTTATTTATGTTGGATTCATTTTTGCTTATGTTTTAGTTTAGCTTGGATTAATCTTTGTTTATTTTTGGAACAAATTTGTTAATTGTTGGTTTAGTTATTTATGTTGAATTGATTTTTATTTATATTTAGACAATTTATATTTGATTTTATATTTAAAAATTTTAGTTAATTGTATTTGAATTTTTAGAATTCTATTCATTATAATTGAATATTAATTAATTATATGTAAAAGACAAAAAAATTTATAATTTAATATTAATTGGTGAAGAATGGAAATCCCCATTATTCGTGGGAAACGGGGATGGGAGGCTTTGCCCCCATCAAAAATCCCCGCGAGGCCCTATTGACATCCTTAGGTGAGATAAAATCTGATTTTACTTTTTTTACCTCTTTCTACCCCATGATTCGCTACCCTTTTTCTTAATATTTTTTTGGCCAATGCCTTTTTCACAATCGAGACGGCGCACACCAATAGAGCACCGACGACAGCATGCCGATCGCCAGAATCCATCTTCTCTGTGAGTACTAAACGAATCAATGCTTCTCCCTTCCCTTCACGTCAGTTTAGCACCGCAACGACCAACAATCCCATAAATGGGAGACAATGGTTGGAGCCTGGCTTTTTCCAACTTTGCACGTTCCCCAAGCCAAAAGACATGAGCGTCAACCATCGACTTCCCTTGAACTTCAACTTTTTTTTTATTATCATTTTGTGGCATAACTGATTGGGTTACAGTTAATTACAATTTTGTTGTAGTTAACGTGTAATTAATTAATTTATAAAAAAATGAGTAATTAATTAATAATAATTATAATTGTTTTTGATAAAAATGACTAATGATAATTATCTCAATTTTTAATCTTATAATCATCTCAATTAATTTCACTATTAAATGTTATTATGATTAATGATAAATAAATAAAATAAAATTTTATTGGATTTCATTATAATGTAATGGCAATTTTGTCTATATAGATAATTTTTTTTGTCTAATCTTACTTCAATTCAATAATTAACCAAACATTTTTTAGGATTTTAATATATCATATCATATCTAATCCAATTCAATTTTATCCTTAAATTTTATCCAATTCAATCCTATCCAATTCAATCCAATCAATCTTATATTCCAATCGACCACTTAGGGACATGCAAGCATGGATATTATTTCAACGTGGCGCATGCACACACTTTAATTGTAGTTCTCCTAACATTGCAGTCATGATACGAATCTATAGCGTTACATGTTTCACTTCATCAAAATGACGTGATTAATTTGTCGATAGTTATGACTTAAAAGAGAAAGCATGCCTAAGAAGACTTGCCATTGTATGCCCCCATGCCTTCATCTTATTAAGGTAACCATGATCCTGGCATGTAATTATTGATACTTGGACCACTAGTGACAACAGATATTGAATCAGGATGGCACCTAAAATTCAAAAACTCAATTTAACGAGACAAGCATGATGGTATTTTATGAAAAAAAGTATTATGCAATTTAGACAATATCAAATTGCATAACATATATAAGCTATTACGGTTGAACTCTTTAATATTGGGATTTATCGTCCCATTTAATGATTATTGTTTTAAAATTTGATGCAATTTGATATTACAAATTGCAAAACAGCCATGTTTTATTTACCATTTCTTGATTTGAAGAGAGAACAATTTGTACCTAATTTGTGATGTAGGTTTGCACCCCAAAGGATGAAAGAAGGCATCATGATGACCCTGGGGATGGGGTTGAATTCTTGTCTGCTATATGCCACATCTTCTGAATTTGTATTCAATTGTAGGGAACTTACTTGGTAGCCTTCCAACGGTTGTAGAGCACCACACTATATTAATTTTTCAAAAACCTTTAATTTTTTCCACCTTATTTTCGTTTCAACAAATGAGAATAAACTAAAGTTGGTGAATTCACATGTTTTAGACATGGTTCTTTAGATCAATTTGTTGTCCTGGTACCATAAATGTCTTAAGGTTGAATCCTTAATCCAAAAATCTAGATAACACAATATGTAGATATATAGAGCAGTAACAATATTGTTTATAACACTTTCTTTCAGAGATTCTATATGATTGAGTCACATGTGACATAATATTTATGTGATTGATGATTAGTGGTAGAAGTTAAAGGTCCACCTTATCCCAAAATATCTGTCACTTTTTACTTGATCCTAGAAGGAGTAACATATTTACAATCACAACCATTCACACAAAAATTATGTCATACGCGTTCTAATCATAAGGAAAATATTTGAAAGAGAATGTTAGAAAGAGTATTGCTAATAGCACTCCTATGTGGATATACATATATAGATGTTTGGAAAAGAGAACATACCCTTTGTTTCATTGTCTTATTAGCTTCATTAAGGAGATGTTCTTGCATTTACAATAGTAGGGAAGTCAAATAGGGAGCTAAAATGAGGAATTAGGGAACTTGAGAGAACGTCTTGGTAGCTTCCTCCAGAGATCATTGTGTTGATCTAGCATGTATTAGGTCTGTAGAATAAACAACAATAGTAAAGTGATAAGATATTCTACTCTTTTTACAAATAGAAAAGGCAATGCATGTTAAAACTCATTTCATCCAAAATCTTTAACTTAATTTCAATTGAGGGTCAAATATTCGAGAAGAATTTTAATCATAACTAGATTCTTAATGATTAATTAAGTACTATAAAACTATTTATGAAACGTCATGAAAAATTCACTGCAATATATGCATCAATCATTATGATCATAGTCAAAATTCAAGACATATTTCATAATTTGAGAGGGCAAGAGAAAAGACAATCATAGGCAAAGCAGAAATTTATATAATACAAGGCCGTTTAATGATTAATTTGAAACTTTGGAATTTTTGGAGTTTGATACAATTGTTGGGAAATTATCTCTCTTAATTTACTTTACACACACCCCTAGATGCATTTTATCTTTCTAAAATATTTATCTAATGTATCATATGAATCTATCTATATAATATTATGACTTTACCATTCGCAACATGCAATGCATCTATACTTGAGAATGATTTTAGTGTCTTACCATTTGTCTTATATAGATTGTAAACACCTTAACTCTATGATTCATAGAATTTATTATTAGCCCTACAAGAACCCCACTGACCATGGGTTGATGGTTTTCGCAGTGCAAGATGAATTGTAAAATACACTTCTTTTATTGAGAATTAACATTTTCCAACAGTTGATATGTTCAATTAAAATGACCTTATAGCAATTCACACATATAGATGAACATGAAAGCGGGGTCATATCCATATACCCTTGTTGATCAATCTAATCTAATTTGTGCACACTCCTAGATGCATTTCATCTTCTTACGATATATATATAATGCACCATGAACCTAACACTATGACTTTACTATTCCTAACATGCAATACATCTAAAATTAAGAATTATCATTTTCCAATAGTTGATATGTTCAATTGATATGATGATAATTGTAATTAATAATAATATAGATTGATGAGCCTAAATTTCATACAATTATACATGGTTTTTTAGTCATGAATTGTAGTCTTTTATATTTTATTGGAACAATTTTATTTGGTTTTACATTACTTTTATCATTCTTTGTAGGTAGAGGGTAAAACTAAAGAAATTGAGAGTAAATGGGCTGAAATGACAAAAGTTGAAAACATCAAATCTGATTTCATGATTTCCCCATTTAAAGACTAGAATTTAATTTTTCTTCTGCATACACGTGGCACAACATTGTGGGCTTTATCTTATTGTGGAGATAAAGATGGGCTTTAAAAAGAAAGGGCACACGGAGTTTTTAAAAGCAGGGCATATTGTTGGATATAAAAAGGGGCAGCTACTGAGGACTTCGGGGAGAAGGGTGACTACAGAAATCAGGGAAGCAGCCGGCAGAAAGCTTGGAGGTGCGTTTGAAGCGGAGCTTGCGCAGATTTTGTGTGAGTGATGGCAGAGGCGAAGGCAGCCACTGGGACACCTCAATCGAAAACAAAGGGGACAAGCGCAACAGTAAATGGCTACAGATTTGAGTTTCACAAATTGGGTTTTTACTCTTCTAAACTTATTTTTTGCTTTTTTTGGATATGGAATTGTGGTTCATCAATTTAATCTCAGATTTTATCATGTTTAGTATGAACTAATTTTGCCATCTAAGGCTACGATGTAGCCTGATCAATTTAATATAGAATTTCATGATTTTTATATTTTCAAGGGTTATTATTTCATGTAGAGTATATATTATTATTCTTAATGCTTTTTGATGATTGGCCACCATTAAAACTGATTTGAAGAGCATAATTGAGACCGAGAGGAGATTTTATGCAATAGCTTTTAGTAATATATACCATGAATTGAACGAAAGCCAGAGATGGACCAACGTGATTTGTGCAGCATTAGTGATAAGTGGACTTAATTTTCTATGTAAACTATGGAATTTCATAGAATAGAATGCATCTTTATCTATTTAAATTCACATAGAGATATAGTGGGTTAATAGGTGAAGATAGGTTTGGTATAACTTGAGAAAGTATATTGAATAAAATAGGAAATCCCGCTGTCACATGAATAATAAATACCTTGGAAGTATATTGATCTAAATTCTATATTAGTTGATGATGGTGAAGTCGGATGCCTTAGACTTTTATTCTTGGTGTTACTCAAAGTTAATTTAGTTTTTCTTTAACTAGTTTAGCTATTTAATTTATTCAAATCATTTAATTTCAATTGTTCAAATAAAATTAGAATTCATAAATTTTGGTACTTAATTAGTCTACGATCTCTGTGGGACGATACTCTATTTTCATCATTATATTACTTGAACAGACTGGTACACTTGCTAGAGTGGAATTAGCTTATCATAGATGAACATCAAAGCAAGGTTATATGATATACCCTTGTTGATTTGATTTGCTTCAAGAACGAATCAAGCTGCCTTTCAAGGGATTCAAGCTACCTCCTTGCTGCTTAGAGGGGCGAGATCTTCTCCTAAAAGATTTCTATGAGGAAAAACAAGAATATATGTACTTATTTCAATGAAATTAATTCAAAGTATTAGCACCATATCCTGCTGAAACTTTAGATCAACTTACAAGCATATATGCATATAGCTAACTCACTTTTGTGATTTTGTTTGGGCTTTATACCACGCTTTAACCTTCAGATAGTCTTGTTGACTACTTAACTCCTACAAACGTAACAGGAGTGTACATATATGCATTACCAAATTGAATAATGCCAACAAAAGAAACCTATTACCATACTATATGTTTGAAACTTTTTTTTTTTTTTTTGTGAACAACACTTAATTAAGTAATTATGGTAAAGATATAATACAAGAAAAATCAAAAAATAAATTACAAAAATACTATATCCCAAATCTAGTTTAAATAAACAAACCATCCTGGATACCTTTGATCACTGCTAAAGTTTTTTTTTTTTTTGGCAAATATCTCAAATCTAGTTTAAGAAAATTTTATTAAACTGAGTACAAACAATATTCCAACACAGTACAGAAAATAGCAAATTTTATAATTTAAATCTAACGTAATGGATAGGGTTCTAATTGAATTATTGAGGTTCAACTTATTAGCTACATGTACTATATAACAGTACACGTATGGATAATAAAAAAAAAACCTTGAACCGGGCCGTTAGGCCCAATGGTTCGACCCCAAGCCTTAAGTGCTTGGGTGAGCTGGTCGGAGCTTCGAGCTTTACCACCGTCGTGAACTCCACCAAAAAGCGACCTAATGGCCGCGCGCCTCTTTGAGGGGGTGAAATGTTCACCCGTTCTGGGGATCGAATCCCCAGTTGCTAACAACTAACTCATACTAACTTCCTAACCATTACTCTTATCAAAAATAAAAAAACCTTATTAGCTGAGTGTACTATATAGCAATAGGAAAATTTTTTGCATGAAGTACAATGTAAATATGTTGCTTCACCATTAAAAAAATCTATGCTCCAAGAGCTGTATCTTAACCAATAAAAAATTTAAGACTTTAAAATTGATAATTTCAACTTTCAATCTTAAGATATAGATAGTGGGAAATTTTACAAATAATCAGATTAATTTTTTTTTTTATAAAAAATATTGGTACAATTTTAAACCCTGAAAGATATTGATAGATATTAGAGTACTCTTTAAGAGCTATAGTAGTTTTATTTAGTGCTAATTAATGTGTTTTAACTGGCAGATTAAAACATAGAAGCAATAAAAAAGGACAACAAAAAAAAAAAAAAAAAAAAAAACCATGTTAGTGGTGAACCTTTCTAGAGCCTCTCTTGTGGAGACATTTAACTTTGGAGCTCCATAGCTGCAATTCTGGTACTTTTCTAGTGTTTTTAGCATGCTAAACAGCAAAGAAGAACTTTCATCAACCATATAAAAAACAAACAAATATTCCAATAATAATTAAGAAAGGAAGAAGAATATACAGGGAAAAGAAAATTAGGTAATGTGAATGTGTACATGCTAGAGAATTTAAACAAATTAATGATTAAGAAAAGGAAGAAGAATATATATAGGAAAAAGAAAGATTAGGAAAATTAACAAAATATAAAGACCATTGTTGATTTATACATTCATGAGTGAGGTTGTAGTGAGAACCTATCAACAAGGTATCCCATGTAGCCAAAAGTTTATCAACTATGTGAGTATGGATACCAACGAAACAATATTAAGGTTTTTTTTAGTAGTGTTCATGTAGATTTAAATATGAAATCTCCTATGCACCAACTCTTTAGGGTTTGGGGGCAGTGGGCAACTCCTTAGGGTTTCCTCTCCAATTTAGGAGCCTCTCTCTTTCCTCTTCATGCTTAAATCTCCATCTTTTGATTTTGTTCTCATCACCCATAAACTATAGTCTTGTTTAAGATACAAATTGATCAATTTTGTTTGTAGGTTCTCAACTGAGAACATGAGTAGCGGCAACAAACCTCCAAGGGCAACAACTAAGGATGTTGGGGCTATGATGAGCTGTATATGGCTCATTGAGGACATTGATGATATTCTTCTTCTCCATGAGGTTTGGCAACATGGTGACCATATGGGGAAGTTCTTCCTTGTCAGTAAGGTACTTTCTTGTAGAAGGATCAATTTTAAAGGCCTTCATCATGCGTTGATGGCTTCTTGAAATCTAAACAATCCATTAAAATTTCTGAAATTGGTGAAAAGCTTTATCTATTTCAATTCTCGAATGCCAGAGATCTCAATAAAGTTTTTTTTATAAGGCTCCATGCAATTTCAACAATTCCTTCATTATGTTGAAAAGATTTCAAGCATCGTTTTCCCTAGAGCAGTATGATTTCTCCACAAATCCTTCTTGGGTTCACATCTTTGATGTCCCTATTGGCCTTCGTTCAGACAAAATTGAGTGCATGATTGGTAATTCATTAGGCAAGTTGTTGGAGGTAGATGATGGTTTCATTAAAGCTATTTAGGTTAATCCCTAGAGCAGTATGATTTCTCCACAAATCCTTCTTGGGTTCACATCTTTGATGTCCCTATTGGCCTTCATTCAGACAAAATTGAGTGCTTGATTGGTAATTCATTAGGCAAGTTGTTGGAGGTATATGATGGTTTCCTTAAAGCTATTCAGGTTAAGATTGATCTAAAAGTAAATAAACTTTTGAAAAGATTCAAGACCTCTCAAATAACAGCCACAGCATGTCAAAAATTGAGGCTTAAGTATTACAGGTTGCCTAAATTTTGTTTTGTTGTTGTTGCATAACACACCTTGAAAATGATTATGAGGTTGCTTTTCATATTAAAGAAATTGAGGGAACAGCATTTTGGCTCTTGGTTAAAGGTTGAACTAGAGAATTTGTGGTGCTTACATAATATTGATGAGCTTGATGTGTCCTTCTCAGATAGTTCCCATCCCTTATTCAAAGAAAAAGACAAGGATGTTGAGGTGAATTCCAGGCATAATCACCTACATGATGCTAGTATTGAGTAAAACAATTCCATTAACATAGAGCTCAATGGTGGTAGTCGTGTGGATAGGGGGAAGAAGATGGTATGGGTCTGGCAGAGAAAGGGGATAGGCTTATACATGGTCTAGTAAATGGTGCGTTAGATACTTTGGGGATGGACACTGTGCTTAAAGTCCCTTTAAGCTAAGAATTTGGTTTTATAAGGGGTAAGAAGTGGAAAAGGTGTGGCTTAGGCAATGGTAAATGGAAGAGGTTAGGCCATGGTAAATGGAAGAGGTTAGGCCATAATTTTGGAAACTCCTTAAGCAAAGATAGGGACAAGCATGGTAAGCGAAAGCTCAAAACTGCTCTTGTAAAAGAGGAAAGGGCTTTGAAAGTATTGATTGATAATTCAAGTGTGGTTTTAACTTGAAAGAGTGAGGGCCATAACTTGTCTCTAGGTTGAGTTCTTTAGTTTGTGGGATAATATTTAGTGGAATGGGGATTGTTGGTGTTAGAAAATCCTTGCTCTCCCCACGAAACTGGCTTAATAAGTGTGAATCTCCAATCGCTCTAAATGCTTATAATGACTTTCTTTCTACATTGATAGCCCTATTATGCCCATAAAGTGATTGTTTAAGGCAATCTTTAGGTACAGACGACCCTCTTTGCTTAATTGTTTAGATTCATCATGAGCAGAGTTTCAATATGTAATTAGTGCTGTAGATTATGCTTCAATTTTTTTTGGCTATAGTGCATATTATAGAGATTATGCTAATGTTATTTGAACTTTATTTTAATAATATCTCTATTTCTATAAAAAAAAAAAAAAAGAAGAAGAAATCTCAAATAAATTTTTTATTGTAGTCTTTAGTAATTTTAGTGCTTGATTAATATTTGAAAATAATCGTTCCAGATGTAAGCTTAAGGAAGGAGCACAAAAACATGAAAATAACTTTTATTTACAAAAAGGAAAAAAATTATCACACACATCATAAAAGAAAATGCAATCACAGGTGATCAAATCTTAGGCAATGATCAAATCTTGGGCATTAATCATAAAGAAAAAATAACAAAATTAAGGAAAAATAAAATAGAATAGAGAAGCCACAAATCTAATTAAAAATATATTCAAAAGACACAAATCTCCTTAAAAGGTGAAACAAAAATCATTGCATCTTGGAAATTAATAAACGATTTTTTAAAAGAATACAAATAAAAAAGGTCCTTTAAAAGGAAATTTCAAGAAAAAGAAAAGAAGGAAATTATAAATCAACAAAAGAAGAAAATTATAAATCAATAAATTAATATTGATGAAAACTTAAAACCTTAAATACTAATCTAAAAAATGAATCAAAACAATTCCAAAAAAAAAAAAAGGAGGAAAGTTCAAAGGATCTAATTACTTGATCCTATGAAGTACTATTTCTTTTGCTTTTAAATCTTTTTATTACAAAATTACAAAGCTCCTAGAGTAATTAAAATCTGTAATTAATTTGGAATTAGTATTACCAAAAACTTAAATAATTTAATAATAATCTTTTTCTCATGAAAATATAAAGTCTTGAATTCAAATCTCATACCATGTGGATAGCGTGAAATTAAAGGATGATAAATAATTACCTTTCATTATGCAATCCAAAAAAAAAAAAAAATGGAATTAGTGTTTAATTTATAATTAAGGAAGAATCAAGACATCTCTTAACAGACCACTACAAAACCAATCTCATACTCAACCAAACATAATTTCCAAACAGTAATTTAGATCTGTCTTTGACAAGAAAGAAAGAAAAGGAAGAAAGATGACTCAAGCATCATGACTGTGATTTAAGGGTAGAAGAAGTCTAATCATCCAAGAATTGAAACCCTACCTTTGGAAACAACAATCAAACACAAAAACCCAGATGCAGATTCAAACATATGTCCCCATCAAGTTCTTACAAATTCGAACAAAAACACTCTTCAAAAACATCAAAGACTTCAAGACAATGATAAGCTAGTTGTCAAAAAATGCATGGAAGGAATGGAGGATTCCTCCTTTACAATTGAGATGGAAATGACAACATAAAAATCAATCTCTTGTCATGGAGAAGAGACAGAATAGAAATTCATTTTTCATCTGAAAGTTATTATGTTCATGAATAAATAAAGAGAAAGGTAAAGAAACCCTAGACAGACGAAGTTAAAAATAAAATAAAATAAAAATCCTAACTTTGAAGGTTTTAAGAATTAAATTGCAACCAACACTACTAGAATAGTTTGCATTTCAAATAGAGTATTTTGATCAAGCAAATTTTTAACCAAAAAATGGTTATTTTTGACAAATTTACTAATTGAATATAAATTTTGTTGATATAAAATCATGGAAAATGGATCATTTGATTAAAACTTAATTTTGTCAAGCATTTGCATTGAAATAACATGAGAAATGGCGCCAAAATTTATTTGGTCAAAACTTTGACCAAACAAAAGATGACATTTTTTCGGTGAAGTAACTTGACTGAACAAAATGTAAAAAAAGTCCAACCATTTTTGCCACATAAAATACAAATAATTCAGTCAAGTATTTTGATCAAAATAATAGCCTGGTTAGATTTTATAGAAATTGGTTTTTGTTGCAACTTTTTTTTCTTATTTTGATTAATAAATTTGACCAAAATAATGTTCTGAACTAATTTGATGTCTGCTGCCCGTCTCTCCCACCAATATTTTGGTCAAGGACCTTGTTTGAAAAAACCACTTGAGTTGATTTGATGGAAGTTGATGTTTGGTTTAGCTTTTGTTCTTAGTTTGGTCACGATCAATTATCGAAATAATGTGCAGTCCAACTTTTACACTTACTTGATCAGTGACCTTATTTGAAATGGTTGTCTTGCAATTGAGTGATAGATGCAATTGTGAGTCTTACCATGTTCCTTATTATTTCGGTTAGAGTGCTTGATCAAAATTTCCAAACTTTATCACTTTGTGCAGAGCCTCTTCTCCTTCCTTAGCAAAAGCTGTCCTTAGATTTCTTTGGTCTTACCCAATCACCATTAGGCGTTGCTGTTGATCTGGCCATTCATTGAGGAGCATTTTTTGGGCATCCTAATCCAATTGAGGTATGGTTAGGTAGGATCTAGTGTTTTTTTTTTTTTTCATTTTTTCTTTCTTTTTCCTCATTATTTTGCATCACTTTGTAGAGCTATTCACTTTCAACCACCATCAACTTCTTGCACCAGTTATCTCCATCTTCCTTGTGCCCTAATCTATTGTTCTATTTGACTAAGTAGTTTGTATTTAATTTTTTTTTGTTTTCATTTTTTATTTATATAATTGATATTTATTTTAAAAAAGTACTCTTTATGTGAACTTGTTGATTCTTCTTCGATTTCATAATTTAAAAGTTGTAATTTACTTTTTTATTTGTATGTATTTTACCTTTCTCAATTCGTTAACCTTTTTTTTTTTTCTTATAGGTCCAATTGTCACATTCAAAGTTTTAAGTTAACTTTGGTTTAGTTGAATTGAAAGTCATCTTTTTTATAACTATGTTCTATAACTTTTTGTCAAATTTTAATTTTGAAATTTTTTTTTGATCAACAAACAAATAATTTTATTAATTAGAGTATAAGGGGTGCTCATGCCCTCATACAAAGTGATTATTCTCACACAATGCCAACCCCTATGTATATGCACAACTCAACCCTTGTGCATATAAACATCCTCAACTCCAATGAAATAGAAACTATCATAAAGAAAATGAACTTTAACAATCATACACTTATGAATAAAAACACACATGAGCTACACAAGCAGACCTAACATTGCTTCTGTTTATTAAACAATTTTAAACATCTCTTATGTCGCTTCAATGCTATTGCACATTCTATTGGATCGAACTGCCACTGAGAAAATGAATACACACAACCATCCACTTTATGATTATGATACTAATTATTAATTGGTAAATTATATTTATATTGATTAATTGATTGATAAATTATGATTATATTATTTAATCAATTGAAAAATTATAATTATTTTGTTTAATTGATTGATAAATTATGATTATACTATTTAATTAATTGATAAATTATAATTATTTTATTTACTTGATTGGTAAAATATGATTATTTTGATTAATTTATTTGTAAATTATGATTAGATTGTTTAATTGATTAATAAATTATGATTATATTAATTAATTGATTTATAAATTATGATTATATTGATTAGTTATTGATTGGTAAATTATGATTAAATTGTTTAATTATTTAGTAAATTATGATTCTATTGATTAATTAATTAATTGATAAATTATGATTATATTAATTATGATTATTTTAATTAATTGATTGGTTAAATATAATTATATTAATTAATTGATTGGTGAATTATGATTACATTGATTATATTAACTTTTAGTTTTAGTTTATAAAATGTGTTTAGCAAATTATCAAATATGATGTTTTATTATTTTGGTGGGGTGTTTTATTATTTTGGTGGGGATATGAATTTTTTAATAAAAATTTAAGGAAATATTTTACGTATTGGAAGATCAAGTTGGTTGTATCACCATTTATATGATAATCACTGTTTTTTTAATGGATTCAAAATTGTCATGGAGTTCTTTTTGAATTATGCATTTTACAATTTAATCCAAAATTTTATAGTAGAAATTACATTAGGTGTCCATGTAAGAAATGTATGAACCAAGAATGGCATCGTTGTGTCATTGTACAGTGTCATTTGATAGAAAAAGGTTTTATGAATGCTATCTAGTTTGGCTTGCACATAGAGAACAATTAGGACAAAAGCGACAACATCATCAGTGGAGGGAATTCTTAAGTTCAACTCCCTTTGTAATAAAAGAACTAGGTAATGATTCAATTAGAAAGATGGTAATAGATGCAATGAGTTCACATGGTATAGAATATCATATGAATGAAAAAGCTAGTAAGGAGCCAATCTTTGAGGAGGTAATGGGAGATGCAAAGGAATTTTTTGATGTTTTGCAAGTTGTTAACACACCACTTGATAATGGATGTGATAAGGGTAATACAATACTCAAATGAGTGTCTCATTTATGAATGCAAAGACACTTTATAATATAAGTGTGGCTAATTGGGATTATGTGTTAAAGTGAAGTAGAGATGGATTAAGCCAGATGATTGGGATAGGATTCCAAAAGATTTTTATAATGTTAAAAAGATGAAGAGGTGCTTTAATTTAGGTTATAAAAAGTATGATGCATGTGTAAATAATTGCTTCTTGCATTACGATGAATACGAAAACAAAACAAAAATTATATCACATGTCCAGTATATGGTGAACTTCATTATAAGCAGGGACATGTGAAACAAAATCAATATATATCAAAGAAGTCATTGTAGCACATCTTAATTACACCTAGACTGAACAGG